AAGATCGGCACACCGAAGTCTTACCTTGTACGTCTCTTTCAAAGACAGGCAGGTACCGGAGCTCCTCCGTGGCCTCGCCCCACGCCTCGATCATCTGAGCACCTTCTCCCGCAGCTGCGCCGCGCTGCCCGGTCGTCCACCACGCGCACCATGTCGTCCAGCACGCGTTCGTTCGCCACGTCGGAGAAGAGCGACGAGCAGTTCTTCACGCCATCTCGAGTAGCGCTAAGGCCAGCATCTGCACGTGCGAGTTCCGCGACGCCAGCTGCTTCTTAATCGCGCGCACCGTCTCGCCGCCCTGGAGCTTCCCCGAGTTGACCAGGTCGCAGATTAAGAGGTTTCGGCCCCAGTCGGGCGAGATTAAGATCTCGTCCGTTGCTTCTTCGACTAGACGGTCCGCGAGGGTAGGAGTGTGGAAGATGTTTTTCATCTTGCCGCCGATTTCCGTCATGGATTCTGTCAGTTTCCCGCCGACGGCCGTCATCGATTCGCCCATCTTCTTTCCCATCGTGGCGAGACGGACCTTCCAGTCCTCGCCCGCGTGGCTGCTCGTGCCGCCCAGCAGACCCTCATCTTGCGGGTCGTCGGAACCGCGGAGACTAACGTACCCCGCCATGATACGCAGGAAAGATCGAAGTTCGACGGACTAAAAACCACGGAGTGCTCAGGAGGACTAACAAGCTCTCTAGTTACAGGATGCAACTGAATCTAGCAGGCAAGCCGAAATCCCTTGAGACTTTCATTCATCCCACAGCCGTGAACGCCTCATCCCAGCAATTTCAGGGGAAGTGCTTCCGAGGAGAGGATGTAGACGGATGATGGCAGACCCAGTCAGCGCGCTCTACAAGAAAGACGGACGGAAAGTAAAGAACGCTGACGGACACAGCCCTCGGAGGTTGCACCCAGCTGGGCAGATACAGAACAATGCGAACCCAACCAAGCGACATTGTTGGTGTCGGAAATTGGAACGAAGAGAACGGTTTGCACCAATTGCGCGTTTGCGCTGTTGTGGCTGCCCGTTTCGGGGTGCCCCGCGCCTGCAATCTGCATTCTGTGGGTTGATGCGGAAAAAACGCGGGGAGATTCTGTGAGTGTAGACTATTATATGCCAGTTACACGTCAGATGGGCTGACAAGGCAGGAAGAACAACCAATCAGAAGACTCCACCTGCCACAACAAACGATCAGCAGTTTGACCCGAAAGTTTCAGCATGTGCAGCTTCCAAGAAAGGCCCCAAAACCAGAGCTGCTACGGCTCTGCGATAAGCGCTCCTTCGATTGCAATGTATTTAAGGTCGCTGTTGCACACTGAGCAAACAAGCCCTATACCTCTATCAACTCATGCAGCTCGATCTAGCATCAACTTCTAGTTTGCACCATGTTGGTTGAACCTTGCATTCACCAACTTCTCAACACTTCCCGCAATATGCACGAAATCAGACGTCATCTCTCGACGGTAAATCCCCTTGCCGCCAGTGATATCGATTTGTCTTCATCATTTCCAGCAGCACCAACAAAAAAATCTCTCCCACCACCATGCCCACCTTCCCGTCACTAGCCATAACCCCCCTAAAACCCCCCTTCCACATAAGACCCAGTCTGGCAGTGTTACCACCTATTACGATAAGGAAATACTTACATTCCTGAAAGTGACACTCGAGCAAGAACTCTTGTCGAGTTCGCGTCTGTAACGAATCACGAAGGGCAACGATCGTGGACCGTTGACCGACAGCCGAACAGACAGAAGATCAAGGTTCTGACATGACAGCAATGACACATAACTGACCCTGCAATACATGATGGGCAGCAGTGTCAACTTATACATATATTTGTATATAGAAGTTATAGGCTAGATAGGTGTGTGTTCTTAGAAGGTAAACTCAAACCCTATATCTCCCTTGTTCACACTTGTTTCTAGTTCATTTTTTCTCGTATTTTAACATGGTATCATAGTAGGTTAGTTCCGCTCACCCGCTTCCGCCCCTCGCCTAGCCTACCGCCGTCCCCTAGCGCGTCCGCCGGCCCCTAGCGTACCCGCTGGCCCTAGCATACTGCCGGCCCTTAGCGTACCGCTGGCCCCTCGTGTACCCGCCGGCCCTAGCGTGCCCGCCGGCCCGTAGCTTACCGCCGGCCCCCTCACGCACCTCGCCGCCCCCCTAGCGTGCCCGCCGACCCTTACGCGCCGCGCAGGCCCCTTGCATATCCCGCCTGCCCCTCGCGCGCCGTGCCGGCCCCTCGCGCCTAGCCGGCCCCTTGCGCCTAGCCGGCCCCTCGCGCCTAGCCGGCCCCTCGCGCCTAGCCGACCCCTCGTGCCTAGCCGGCCCCTTGTGCCTAGCCGGCCCCTAGCGCCTAGTCGGTGCCTCGTGCCTAGCCGGCCCCTCGCATGCTCGCTGGCCCCTCGCGTACTTGCCGCCCCCCCCCCCCCTTGCACACCAGCCCCGCCTCTCGTGCGCCTCGCCGGCCCTCTGCGCTCGCCGGCCCCTCGCGCGCTCGCCGGCTCCTCTCGTGCCTCGCCGACCCCTCCCGTGCTCGCCGGCCCTCCGCGCCTCGCCGGCCCTTTGCACCTCGCCGGCCCTTTGCGGCCGTGCCGGAATTGCGCGCCTTGGGCCCTCCGCACCTTGGGCCCTCCTCAACCTTTCGCCCGGTTTTCCCGCCGGAGAGTCCTGCCGCCACGTCGCTGTGTCGCCGTGCCGCTGAGTACCTGTGCCATTGTGCCGCCGTATCCCCGTGCCGCTGTGCCGCCGTGACATTGTGCCGCTGTGGACCTGTGCTGCTGAGGTTGCACGATGGCGGACGCCGTACTTCGCCTGGACGCGGAGGGGCACGCGATCGGCTTCGCAGCCTGGCTTGTCGATCTTTGCCGGCACCTGACAGGTCAGCGCCAGGATGGGCACTCCCTGGCTATGCATATTGATGGCTTGTTTTCTCCGCCCCTACGCACCTGATCCCCTCCCTGCTGACCCCACCACTGCTGAGAGTGAGGCCTTTGCTGCTGCCGCTCTTGCTTGCACTGTCTGGGATTCTCGCGATGTTGTAGCGCAGCTCGCCATTAGTCATGCGCTTCCCCTATCTGAGCGTCCGCGCTTCACTACTGTCGCAAATGCCAAGGACTTCCTAGACGCAGTAGTTGCGCGCTACTCAACCCCTGCCTCCGCCTCCGCTGGCCGCTTCATCCTCCCCATGCTATTCCCCGATCTTTCTACTTTCCCCACTGTCGCTGACCTCGCCACCCACCTCCGTGCACTAGAGACTAGCTACCGCGCTGCTAGCATTGTTGCCCAGCTCATTGCCTTCCCCCCACCGTTCTGCTCTACCCTGTACCTTATTGCCATGCGCCTGCCTGACCGCTTAGCCATTGCCCGTGACCACTTCCTTAGCCAGCACCCTGGCGACCTCACCCTGACCGCCTTTGTCACTGCCTTGTTTGAGATAGAGACTCGCCAGCGCACTATCGCTCAGTCGAGCGGTGTTGCGGCAGTCCCTATCTTTCAGGGTTGTGTTCCCTCCCAGTGCACGTACGCTGACATCTGCGCTGTGGTTTCTATGGCTGCCCCTGCCACGGAGACTGCAACTGCAGCCTTCCCACAGCAACACCAGCGTCGGGGCCGTTGCGGCCCCCAAGGGAGGGCGTGGTGGTGCCGCTGGTGGTGGTAGTGGTGGTGGCGGGGAAAGTGGTTCTGACGAGGGGGTTGGAGCTAGTGTCCAGGAGCAGCAGCAGTCGTAACAGACGCAACCGCAGCAGTTGCAGCAGACGCAACTGCAGCAGCTGCAGCAGTAGCCGTGGGCCTGCTTCCCGCCAAGGTGGCCAAGAGGAGGTGGTGGCCGCAGTGGCGGCCCTCGCAGCTGCGTCTACCGGCGGCTTTAGTGCGGTGAGCTGCCAGTACCAGCTCCAGACCGGGCCCCTCCGTGGCACTGTGTGTCGCCGCCCGCACCCGACCGCCCGTTGCTTTTGCCGACTTAATGACCTCTTCGTTGTGCCCTGCATTCACTGTATGTTGACGCTTCTAGTGTGTCCGGATCTTATTACCCCTGTGTTCTCTAGCTTAGGCATAGGACCTGTGTGTAGTCTAGACTCCCTTGCTGCGTAAGGCGTAGGACCATTTGCTTTGTATAGCCTAGGCTCCACCCTCGCTCATCCTTCGTCTGCCGGTACTGCTTCGCTGTCCTTCACACTTGACTCTGGTGCGTCAGCTTGCTTCTTCCGCGACCACGCCACACTCACGTCGTTTGCCGCGCCTGCCACTGTCGCACTTGCTGACCCTCTTCTGGTCCTATCGTTGCTCGTAGCTACACTACCCTTCCCTGTCCAGTGGTTCCCTCGGGTTCCCCTACAGGCCTGCACATCCCTTCGTTCTCTAGGAACTTAGTTGGTGCCGGCTGTCTTCAGGACCTCGGCGTCACCACTATTTTCCCTGGTCACGAGCGGTACGCTGTCTGTACCGAGGCCGCCTAAGGTTCACCCCTTGCGCCGTTTCTCCGGGACCCGGTGTCTGGCTTGTTTACGCTGGACACTACTTTCCCCCCAGTTGGGGCGTCCTCCCCGTGCCCTTTGTCATCTCATGTCGTCGCTGCTTGCCCGTGTCGGTCGCTCACTCACCCGTCGGTCCTATGGCACCACCGCCAAGGTCACCCCGCGATCCCGAGTCTGCGTCACATGTCCCAGCACGGTCTCTTCCTGGGTCTCCCTGCATCCCTTCCTGCCCTCCCTCCCTCACCTGCGCCACCATGCACGCCCTGCGTCGAGGGCCGGCTGCGCCATGCTCCTCACTCCTCCTTGCTTCGCCCTGCCACCGCACCCCTCCAGACCCTGCACCTGGACGTCTGGGGCCCGGCCCCCGTCCCCGGACCTCATCGCGAGCGGTACTTTCTTGTGCTCATCGACGACTACATGCGCTACACCACGGTGTTTCCCTTAGAGCGGAAGGCCGACGTACCTGATGTTCTTTTCCTGTGGATTGTAGCTGCGCGACTCCACTGCAGTCTCCCTGTGCTGTGTCTCCACTCCGACCGTGACGACGAGTTCGCCTCCGGTCGACTTGGACAGTTCTGTCGTGCGGAGGGCATCACCTAGTCATACACCCTACCGGACTCCCCGCAGTAGAATGGGGTCGCCGAGCGACACATAAGTTTGGTCATAAAGGTGGCTCGTACCTCCATGATCCATGTCGGTGCACCCCATTTTCTGTGGCCGTTCGTCGTTCGCTATGCCGCTCACCAGCTTAACCTGTGGCCGTCCGCCCAGCGGCCACAGGTTTTGCCGACCCTACTTTGGACAAGGTTCCCGGGTGACGCTGCTGCGTGACGACGAGTTACACTCCCTCGACTTCTCCACAGCGTTTCTCCAGGGCAATCTACACGAGCATGTCTACCTGCGCCGTCCGCAGGGCTTCATCGGTACCTTCCCTCCTAGGACCTAGTGGCTCCTCCGGCGCCCGGTCTACGTCCTGCGACAGGTGCCTCATGAGTGGCACGACACGCTGCGTGCTTCGCTAGCTGAACTGTAGTTCTTTCCGTTCGCTGCAGACCCCTCGCTTCGTCCTGGCCAGACTCCGTTCTACATCCTTGTCTACGTAGACGACCTGGTCTTTGCTACTGCAGACAGAGACGCATTGGCCTCCAAGAAGGCCGAGCTGCTGAGGAGACACACCTGCACTGACCTAGGAGACCTGCACCGCTACCTTGGACTGCATATCTCCAGGGACAGAGCAGCGCGCACCATCACTCTCACAGAGTCACACTTGGTGCGCCAGGTCCTTCAGAGGTTCGGTCTACAATTCTCCTCCGCACAGCCCACAC